AATTTCCCCTGACCGCGTGTCCCACTGCATGATCTTCTTGTCGCTCATCCCCGCCAGCAGAATGTTCTGCTTGTCGTCGTCGGGGTGTAATTTCACCACGTAGGGTATTTTACCCGTGGAAAACGTCCCCGTGACCTGCCCGGTCTCGGTGTCCCAGAGCTTGATGTTACGGTCGTAACCGCACGAGACGAATTTCAGCCCGTCGTTCGCAAAGCAGATGTCTCGAACGGCCTTGGAGTGACCCATGTATGTGCGCATGCACTTCTGCGTGTTGGGTACGTCCCAGATCTTGATCTTGGTGTCCATTGATGCCGACAGCAGCAGATGGCCGTACCTGGCGGTGGGAGTCAGGACAGAGGTGAAAGAGAGGGAAACAGGGAAGGGGGGATTGTGAGAGGATTTCCGGGTGTTGGGCACGTCCCAGATCTTGATCTTGGTGTCCATTGATGCAGACAGCAGCAGATGGCCATACCTGGTGGGACAGAGGAGGAAGAGAGGGGAGAATACGGAGGGGAAGAGAGAGAAAAAAGGGGAGAGACGGGAGAAGAGCGGGGGGAGAGGAGAGGGAAAAGGGGAGAGTAATGAGAAGAGGCAAGGAGAAAGGTCGCGCACGGCATGGCCTTGGAGTGACCCATGTGTGTGCGCATGCACTTCTGGGTGTTGGGCACGTCCCAGATCTTGATCTTGGTGTCCATTGATGCCGACAGCAGCAGATGACCGTACCTGGTGGGACAGAGGAGGAAGAGAGGGGAGAGATGGGTAAGGGGGACAGAGAAGCAGACAGGGAGAAGAAAGGGTAGAGGTGAGTATAGAATGGGTATAGAGAGAAACGAAAGAACCGGAGTAAGATAGAGCAGATGTCTGACACAGCAGACAACAGCAGATGGCCGCACCTGGTGGGACAAAGGAGAGAGAGGGGAGAAGAAGAGTGAGGAGGAAGGGAGAAGGGAGAGAGAAGAATCAGATGACACTACGAAAGACTTGCACCTATGATACTCTTACTCCTCTCCTCCTCACTTAGGAAAGAACCGGATAGCACTGACACCCTTGTTGTGCGACATGCCCACTCCACGTATGAATCCACTCGAAATGCATCTTGTGTAACTCACCTTGTAAGAAAAGCTTGCTTTGCGCTTCACTGCTCACTCGGGGAAGAACCGGATGGCACTGACACCCTTGGTGTGCGGCGTGCCCACTCCACGTATGAATCTACACGAAAAGCATCTCACGCAATTCACCTTGTAACAGAGGCTTGACTAGTGCTTTCACTACTCACTTGGGGAAGAACCGGATGGCACTGACGCCCTTGGTATGCCCACTCCACGTGTGAATCCACCGCTTTGGAATATAGCAGTGCGTGGGCGGCACGGGATTAAGGGCGTCTTTAGGAGGCGCGATCCAGGACCGGCCCTGATAGTCCTTCTCTTGCTTCCCATGGAACGTACTCTTTTCTTCCACCTCCTCCTTGTCTCCTCTCTCCTTCTTGGCTTTTTTCATAGCGTGCTCCTCTGCGTATTTCTTTTGCTCCTCGGTCAGCTCAGCCTTGGGCTCCTCTTTTTTGCCTGCCCAGGGGGACTTGGAGCTTTTGAGGAGCCATGATTCTGACGCCGGATTGGCTAATTCCGCTTCTGGAGCCTCCTCTTCCTCCTCCTCCTCCTCCTCTTCACTCTCTTCCTCCTCCTCCTCCTCTTCTTCGCTCTCTTCCTCCTCCTCCTCCTCTTCTTCCTCCTCACTCTCCTCTTCTTCCTCTTCTTCCTCTTCCTCTTCTCTCTCCTCCTCCCTGCTCTTCTTTGCCCTTTCCTCACCCTCCTCCTCTTTAACACCCTTCCCTTGCCGCCCTCGCTTCTTTCCCTCCCCCTCCCCCTCCCCCACCCCCTCTCCTCCTGCTCCCTCCTCCCCTTCCGCTCCCACCTCCGCCCCCACATCACCTTCCCCCTTCCGCTTCTTCTTTGCAGCCTTCCTCGCTTTCTCCTCCTCCTTCTTCCTCTTCCTCTCTTCCTTCTTCGCTCTCTCCTCCTCCTTCCTCCTCTTCTTCTCTTCCTTCCTCTTCCTCTCCTCCTCCTTCCTCTGCTTCTCCTCCGCCTTTTTCCTCCTCTCCTCCTCTTTCACCGCCATAGCCAGCTTTTCCCGCTCCTGTTTGGACACATTGTACACTGTAGCACCCCCCTTATTGTCAACCGCTTCTTTATCACCCACGACCTCGGTCCCGTTTACACTTGCGGGGTCAACACTGTAGCCGTACGCCTGAAACGTGTGGTACTGTTCATCAAAGACAAAAGAGTCCACAGATGCGTCTTGGACGGATCCCAGCCGGTGGTTTCGCAACCCTAACGCGCGGCCGTCCGCGTTATGGGGATGCGCGGGTCCCACTACAGGAGTCCACAGTTGATCGTAAGTCGGATTGAACTGTAGATTCCGCTTCGACGGGTCGATGGGAGCTGTCATGATATCGCGTGGTACAGCAGCGAGTAAAGTGTCACTCACTGGTGGAGCGGCAGAACTAGGGGGGGCGAGAATTCTGTACGCCATATTGTCATCGTCGCTATCGTTATCATCATTTTCCTCAGCGGTGCGTGAAGCTGACTTGTCAGCAGGAACTCCAGCAGAGCCGGTTAGGGTTGCACCACTGGTACCAAACGAGTGCTTTTCCCGAGGGGGAGAAGCCGTTATCGCGGATTTCTCTCGCGGGGAATCTTCCCCTCCCTCCTCGTCACTGCCGTACTGTCGCGATAGAATATCCATGGCTGAAATCGAGCAGGATTTTCAAACCTAAATTGCAAATCAAGAACGACTTGCAATCCAGTCACGCGTTTGGTACCTAATTTTGCACGAGAGAAGACACCAGTCCAAGCGAACACGTGCGAAGAAATCAGCTACAAAAGCTGACAACTACTAACTACCAGCAGCACCAGGTATGCCCTAGGTTGGGAACCGTAGCCATGAATCGAAGCCAGCAAAAGAAAAGCGTGACCCAAAACTCAATTCCCGAAAATGTGCGCAATAAGCAGGCCCTATTTAATTTTGAGGTGTACGCATTAGTGTGAAGGAGAAAGCTCCATAAGTAGCACTGTGACAAGTGCTAAACGCACAGCAGCAAAAAATGAATTAGCCATGCAAAACATATGCAGCCATAAAATATGCTCTTTTTTTTAGTGAATGTTATTACACTATGACAGTGCATACATCCTCAGTCGTAACTGATATATGGAGTGGTCCAGCCCTGGCTACACTTTGGTGTTACCGGAGCCCCCCTCATGCAGACCTTCTAAGGAGGTTGTTTTATCGTTCAGGGGTTGCGCCAAATGGAGAGAAACTCGTCGTTCGACGTGGCAATGTCACCTGGTACGCTGAGTCGGGCCACTGCAGCCCTCTCATCTGCTCCCAGATCTCGTCACGGGTCTTTCCCCTGATTCGATGTTCCCTTCTTCGGTGCCTTGCGTGTCAGCTCTGTGCGGTATATTTGCGCGTGCAGCGCGAAATCCCGGATTGCCCCCCTCGCCACTTTCTTCCGCTGAAAAGCCTCCCCTCTCCACACCATGTCACACCTTGCCAGCCAGATGTGGCGGAAAGTCGTTGCCACCAGTGTCGTTGCTGGGAAACCTGGCCGTGTTCCTCCATCTCCGAACAGTACGTCGCTTAGCGAGGCTGGGACGTTCGACCGATCCAACAGCCGTAGTGACCGCAGCAGCGCGTCAATTACCGGTTGGACCACCGGGCAGTCAAACATGCAGTGCTCAAGGGTTTCCTGCTCCCCACAGTGCGAGCATCTCGCCTTTTCTCCCAGAAATTTCAGCATGCCACCCACTTGTAGGTTCAAACTGTGCATCTTTAGGATCACGTCTCTTGCTCTACTGGGAATTGCCGTTGCTTCCCTCCTGCTCTCCACCTTCCTCCAGTCAATTTTCCGCCCCCACCTTTCCTCCCATTCACTTCTCTTCCTTGAGGCCGTCGTGGGCCCCGTTAGCTCCCGCCTGATTGTCTTAATCCTCGCCGGTGTCCCATCTTCTTCTAGGAGCTTTGACTGTCTCAGCTTCGTCTCCGGTGCACCCATTACCCCCAGCACTCTGCCCCCTCTGGTGACTACTGGCACCACGCTTGCAGCTCTGAACACCGCGGTGATCCTCCGCTCCCCTTCCTGCAGCCTCGCTCTCTCTGTTTGCTCCAGGCTTGTCACCGTCACTTTCCCGTTAGTTGTTCCGTTCACCTCCCAGTACAGGTACTCATGTGTCCTGGGGAGGTACGTTCTCACTGTTCTTGCCATCTCGACCACCCTAGCCGCCGTTTTGCTCGCCGTTAGTAGCTCCTTCCATTCTTTTGGCGTTGATGCGTATGCCATCAGTGCCCACCTTGCCGCCGCAACACTCCCTAGCTCTGCCGTGAGGGTCTCCTTGCTCTTAACCGCTCGCTCCCCTCCCGGTCCTTCTTCTATCAGGTCCTCAAGCTTCTCCGTGTGGATCTTCTCCGTCCCTTGCTGGTTCCCGTACGGGCTTTTTCCCTCTGAACATGACGCGACAGTTGAAGCACAGTTTCTCCTGACAAGCTTCCCATGCGTTCCCCGGCTCTGGAATGTTTGCGTACGGAGACTCCCAGAAAGCCTCGACCGCTGCCATAAAATATGCTTAAGCAATAATAAAAATCAACGTTAGAGTTTAGGGCAGCATAATAACAATCGAAGATATATAGTGGGCTCAAACACACATCTTCTTTCCATTCTTTTAGTTCTACCATGGGATGTTATTTAGCAACACCCCGAAAAGCATCTCGACGTCCCCCGAACCCCTCAACGCTCATGTTCGTTCAATTGTCTCTCTTCCCCCACATACTCTTCTCCCAACCACCTCTTTCGCTTCACAACAAGCAGATACCTGAGCTTCCTTGTTCGGCCATATAAACCATTCGTCATAACATCCCTATTACCACCCTGCTAACATTTGATTCGTCAACCTTGCTGCCACCACTACATACATCCCTGGGGAGGTTACTACTTTTCATTGGCAGCTATGGCTGCTGGATTGTGCAGACTTTCGTCGGACATGGTAAGCTGGAACTGATGTGGAATGAGGCCACTTTTAAGTCTTTTAGAACAATTGCGATGCGCCGTATTTTCCCCTGTCGCTCGGGTTTGATTCGATTGGCGATGGGGGCCCCCATACGGCGGACATTGAGACAGAGCGAATTTGAGTCGTTGGCCGAGGGTTTATCCCGCTGAAAGCTCGCGAATAATCGTTCCCCACATGTAGATGCCCATTGTGCTCACATTTATCCCATGCTCTTTCAAAAGCGTTCTCGTACACCAAAGCCTTCGTGACGGTGGTCCCTGATCTAATCTGCCCTTTCTGACGGACTCTCGCTCCTTTTTCCTGCTGGTGCTTGGAGCAGATAATGAAGCAACAAGTTCAGTATCTACCCTGCAATCGGCTACAAATCGAAAGCAAATGTTCAACGTAATTACCAAGAAAAGCGCTTACCCTCTCATTTGGTACGTATATGGGTACGTTTGACTCGTTTTTAGTGACACCAATCGCTCGTTGACGGGTCACATTGTGCTGATTACTGGAGGAGGCGGTGATGATATCTATAGATCACAATCCTTATTGTCTGAGCGCAAAGCTGATGGCGGAATCTAAGGGTCTGAGCCTCCGTGATTCATTACAGCATCGTCGTCGTTCTCTCCACGCCATGATTGTTTTTTTTTTCCTGAAGTTCACCTGTCACACCTCTGCTGGTCCACAGTGATGACTCGATATATACCCAGCTCGCTTCGAGCTGCTAAGCAGCGCTGAAGAAAATTATTCGTTTCCAACTCACGTAATTTTGTCTGAGTGGACCTTACTATCATTCTTTCTGTGACATCCATTCACAACCTTCATGTTTGTTAGTGGCGGAGATCACGCAATATTCCATCCGCCCTTTGCTTACAAAAAAGGTTCGGTCACGTAATTGTAACAAAAATGTTTCGGTGGTGGCCGGGGCTTGCTAGCCCTGCCGATCGTTTGGTTGGGCCGGATCGTTCCCACTGGGGTTCGCTGCCCTCGTTTGGAGGAGGCGACGTGTTATCGGCCACTCTCGACATATGTTCTTTTTATTAATTAATCCGTCTTTTATTCCTGCCTTGGTTCGTGCAGATGGTGTTGCACCCTGAATCATGTGGGCGTTCGTGCTCCTGCGCAACGTTGGTTTTTCAACAGTGGAAGCATGCAACTGCTAAGTCAATGGCGATGACGGCACTGACGAGTCGCCGTTTCGGTGACTCACGGAAGAAGGTTACAGAGGTCTAAGTTGCGCTTCAGTGCTGATATGTTTTTTCTTACTGCTCTGGGTGATTCTCAACCGTTCAAATTACTCGCAGCGATATGAGGAGATTCTTTTTCTCGCGTTGAGCCACTTGTGGCCGTGATGCTTCAACGCATCTAACGTCTTCAAAGTTCTCTGATCGCTGCTTCTCTTCAACCTAAACTGTACACGCGTCCCTGATTCCATCGTTTATTTTAAGCTTCAATAAAAGTTGGTCGCGAGTGTTTTCAGTCACCTGTCGACCCGTTCCCTGAAGCGAGAACGGCGGGTCTTGGGGGGAGTTCGAAGGCCCTCTTAGGCATAACCACCACTCGTGGCTCGCTATCCTGCCGCAGTCCCTGTCTGCTGGCCGGACGATTGCTTACGGGACATCACTCCTGTACTGGTTCACGAATGTGGTTACCAATTTTCTCTGGTGTATAAAAAAATTCACTTCCCATGCCTTCTTTCCGCGTGCATCCACAGACTCGTCACAACTTACCTGGATCTGAAAATCATGATGAGCTCCCGAGATATGTCACGTCTTGATTCTTCTGTTTACAAGGTGTGTTCTAATTAGTTAGAATTTGGTGGGAGAAAATTCATTCCTGTTGCCATGAACGATCGCCGATGCCCTCTTTATCGAGGATATTGTGCTAAGGGATCCCCACGTGGCACACATTACTGCCGTACAAGCTGGCGAGGTTTAGCTGCTGGTCGGAGTGGACGCATCCCAAGTGGCTGTACCCACGAGGATTTACTGGCTGACTACCTCTCTACAATCACAAAGAATTGCTGGCTCAGCTGTGATTGGTCACGAACATCTGTGATTGGTCACGAACATCTGTGATTGGTCCGTTGCTCATATGTCCTCAGTTTCTCTGGTTCTTGCCTGCAGGTTGGAAGTGAAAGTCCCTTCTGAAGTTGTGCGTATCTGCTGTCTATGGCCGTGTTGTGGCGTCACTGGGTGTAATCTCTTCGTCCTCTGCTTGGAACAGGCGATAAAACATATGAATCTCTCCTCATATGTAGTGGGCTATCCGCCAGTGTCCTATATTTCTGGAATTTTCTTTCAAACTTGGGTGTCAGTCAGTTCGATCTTCTAGTAGTGATCAACCAAATCCCACAACTCCCGTGTGTAGAGAGCAACACACCCATTTGTCCCCCTCGGATGAAATCATCAGCCGGTTCCATATAGTGACCCAAGGGGCCCCACAAAAAAATCTCGCTCAGAAGCAATGAGCAGTGGATTTTCGAAGCTCTTCATTCACCGGTGTTGAGAGCCACATTCCCCTCATACGGTACACCTGCACATTTGGACCCCACATACCCCTCATACACCTGCGCATCTGGACCCCACATACCCCTGCGCATCTGGACCCCACATACCCCTGCGCATCTGGACCCTCAAGTTGTTAATCAGCCAGTTCCAGGTGGACCCAAGAGAGGCAGGGACTCTGCTCTCCTGTGTACAGTAGCGGCAGCAGCAACAGTAGCAGTCCAATTATAATAACCATCAACCCAGTATCATCAACAGTCCTCCTCACCTCACCATTCACCAGTGTTGAGAGCCACGTACCCCGCATTCACCCGCCCATTCGTGTCCCTCGGATTGTTAATCAGCCGGTTCCAGTTCGATCCTAGCGGCCCGACAAAGAAATCACACTCGGAAGCGATGAGCAGATTCGCAAAGCTGACCCCCACCAGCTGCTCCAGCCCCGCTTCTCTCTCGTACTCGAGCATCTGGGTCGACCCGAGCTGGCGCTTGTTCTTGCTGTACAGGAAGGTCCAGTCATTGTAGCTCTGAAGCTCATCAATAACCGACTGTACGGAGTGGTGAGCAGGGGTGGGGGGAGGCAAGGGCAAAATAGGGAAGGCCGAGAAGAGGAACACCAGGGAGAAAGGGAGCATGAGAAAGAGCAGCAGAGGGGCGGCTAGCAAAGCTGACCCCCACCAGCTGCTCCAGCCCCGCTGCTCTCTCGTACTCGAGCATTTGGGTTGACCCGAGCTGGCGCTTGTTCTTGCTGTACAGGAAGGTCCAGTCATTGTAGCTCTCTAACTCGTCGATGACTGTCTGCAAGGATGGTGAGAGGCATGGGATCAGAAGAGAGAGAACAGGGGTTAACCTGCGCTGGCGCTTGCTCTTGCTGTACAGGAAGGCCCGATCATTGTAGCTGCCTGACTCGTCAATAACCGACTGCAGCGAGTGTGTGAGCAGGGGAGAGGGAAGGGCAGGATTCGAAAGGATAGGGAAGGGTGAGAGGAGGAACACCAGGGAGGATGGGAGCATGAGACAGAGGAGAAGAGGGGCGGTAAGCTAAGCTGACCCCCACGAGCTGCTCCAGCCCGCTGCCTTCTCATATTCCAACATCTGGGTTGACCCGAGCTGGCGCTTGTTCCTGCTGTGCAGGAAGGCCCGATCGCTGTAGCTCTCTAGCTCGTCAATCACTGACTGTACGGGTAGTGTGGGGGATGGGAACAGAAGGGAGAGAAGAGGTGTCAATTCAAGCTGGTGCTTGTTCTTGCTGTACAGGAAGGTCCAATCGCTGCAGCTCTCTAGCTCGTTGATTACAGACTGTACGGATGGTGAGGGAGGGGAAGGGCAGCAAAGCTGACCCGAGCTTACCTGCTCATCCGCGCCCCTCACCTTCATCTCTGTGCTGAGCCACACATGTGATGAGTCGATGTTTGAGTCGACTAAATCGCCTCACTGCATCTCCATGCTGAGCCACACGTACTAAACGTCCGGCACTCGGAGTCTCAATCGTTGCACGTGCAGCATGTACGCTCGGAACGAGCTCAGCCTCATCTCCTTCTGCTTGTACCTGCTTCCACCTGCTTGCTCACCTCACTTTCGTCTCTGTGTCCCTCTTACCTGCATCTCCGTGCTGAGCCACACATAATGAACGTCTGGGACCCTGAGCCTCAGCCGTTGCACGTGCAGCATGTACGCCCTGAAACTGCTCATACCTGAGTGCACCTTTTTGTACCGCTCATCCACCCTCTCACCCTCCTCACCTGCATCTCCGTGCTGAGCCACACATAATGAACGTCTGGGACCCTGAGCCTGAGTCGTTGCACGTGCAGCATGTAAGATCGGAACGAGCTTAGACGCGTCTCCTTCTGCTTGTCCCTGCTTGTACCTCACTTCCCCCCCTCACCTGCATCTCTGTGCTGAGCCACACGTAATGAACGTCCGGCACCCTGAGTCTCAGCCGTTGCACGTGCAGCATGTATGATCGGAACGAGCTTAGACGCATCTCCTTCTGCTTGTCTCCCTGCCTCACGTGCACACTCACCACCGGCCGTGGCATGTACACCTCCCCGCCCACTCTCCTGTACACTTCCTCCTCCCCCTCCCCCTCTTCTCCCTCTTTCTCATATCTATCTTTTCCCCCAGCCTCGTTGTTATCGTCATCTTTAGGGGTGCAACCAGCGAACCCGATAGAAGGCCATGTGCTTGTAGCGAGGCTGCTTGTATCAAGGAAGGAGATGGACTGCAGAGAAGCTGCTTCCTCCGTGGCATTGATAGCCATGCTGGCAACTGCTGCGGCTGACGTGGATCCTACTGTTGCTGATGTGGAGGCTACTGCTGTTGCTGACGTGGATTCTGCTGCTGCAGCTTCTGCAGCCGCAGCTTCACTCTGTGCGATTTCAGAATCATTCATTTTCGCTGCATTCGCATTATCATCACCAACAGCAGCAGCGGCAGGACCGAGAGAGTCAAGGATCTTCTTTTGAGCCGCTCTTGACTCCTCAATCCGCACTGCCACGTGGAGCCCATACGCCTGCTGCCGCACCCTGTTGCTGACGTGGCACAGGTACGCCGACGGCCACCTCAGCATGAAGCGAAGCGACTGCGCTCGCCACCAATGCACCTGAAGGTTTTGGGGAACGGGGGTAAAGGGGAGGACGGGGTAAAGGGTAGAAAGGGGTATGAGCAGCAGCAAGGGAACAGCCGCAGTATTACCATCACCAGCGCCAGTAGCAGCATCGGCATGAAATGAAGCGCAGCGGCTGCGCTCACCATCAATGCACCTGGCAATGGGGCCGGAAGGAAGATAAGGGAGGGAGAAAAAGTAGTTAGAAAAAAGGTTGGGAAGGGGTATCAGCTATGGTGGCAGCAGTGGTGGCAGCAATACCTGTCACTCCCATACCTGCCACTCCCGTGCCTGTCACTTCCATACCTCCCACTCCCGTACCTGCTGCAGCTTCGGCACCGAGGCCTTCACACGCCCCCTCACTTCAATGCTGTTGCGCCGCCTCAGGTACGCCGACCCCCACAACCTGCCAGGCAGAGGTTGACGTGGCAGATAGATGTTGACGTGGCAGGTGGTGATGACGTGGCGGGTGACGACATGGCATGTAGGGAGATGTTGCCAGTACATGTGTATGAGCACAGCGGGTGAAAAAACCTTTCTACCAAAACCAGTAACGTAAAACAGCAAGTAACGATGTTAAGCAGCTACTATGCATACCGTCCTGTACACAAATATATATACGAGCATTGTGTTAAGGAGCTACTGTAGATACCAGATACTGTACATATCTCACCTGGCAGCGCCAGCTTCGTATTTCAGGTGCAGGTAGTTCCCACAGAACCTCACGATGGGACGATCCGAGCCCAGCAAGGCCCGCACGTTGCTGTGATCCGCGCACGCCCCCTCCCACTCTCTTCCTTTTTCCCCATCCGCCCCATCCACTTTCCCTTCCGCTGCTTGCCCTCTCCCTCTCCCATAGTTTGAACCCCACTCCCCACGCCGCCTCCAGCCTCCACTCCTCCCCCCATCGCCTCCCTCACTCGCTCCTCACAGCTCTTAGCAACCAAGGGGAAGAAATAGCAGTCAAACGAGTTTAAGTTCCCAGCCTCTAGACACTCGGAATGGTTGGCTCTTATGTAAGTGCCGGGCGTGGGAACGAGCGTGCGGTTGTGAGTCAGCGCAAGGCTTAAGTAAGCGCTCATGATGCTTAGCTGAGAGCCAATCCCGTGCTTCCTCTTCGGCCAATCCATGACGAAGAGCCGCCGCCCGGAGCAGGCTGACGTGGAGGCGACTGGGTTTGATTCAGACTGAAATGAAGATGCTGCAGCTGCTGAGGTGGCAGCTGATGAGGTGGCAGCTGATGAGGTGGCAGCTGATGAGGTGGCAGCTGCTGACTTGGCAGCTGAAGGTGATTCGTTTGGGAACTGGTGTCGCCAGATTTCGGCCTGTGCTTGGCGGGTCGCTGCCAGGTTGGCAGCATCTGAGCCCCGCACCTGAGAAAAACGAGGGTGACAATAACGGGAATGGGAATAACGAGGCGATGCTGGGGGTGAGCTGAGGGTGAGGGGGCGGAGAGAAGGAGGCGGAAAGAAGGCAATTAGGGTACCTGGAATCCAAGGGTACAGCCTCCTCCCCCAACCCCGCTTATCTTTCCAGAGTCCTTAGAAACAGCATCACCCCGCCCCTCCTCCCCACTTCCCCTCTTCTTATCTCGCCTTACCCATTTTCCCCAACCTCTTGCCTTACGCTCTCCCCTCCCCTACCTTCATCGGCCACTTCCCCGTCGGCCCAATACCCACCCACAGGGGCTGCCGGAACCGGCATCCGCCCCGTGCTCGCGCCCACAGTTTTACAGAACCCCAACCCCCACCACCTTACTTTCCCCCGCCCCTTTTGAGTCGACTCAAAAACAGTTTTACAGAACCCCAACCCCCACCACCTTACTTTCCCCCGCCCCTTCCCCACCCACGATTCTTCCTGCCTCTCCCCCGATTCCCCCTCCGCCCAATACCCACCCACGGGGGTTGCGGGTACCGGCACCTGCCCCGCGCGCGCGTCCACCGCGGCGGCTCCCCGTTGGGTCCGCGCATCTCTTTTGTACGGCGCTGTGCCGTGCGCGTCGCGCAGTCCTCAAGGTGCGGCGGGGGGGGAACGTTCGGGGGGAGGGCGATGCGCGACGGGGGAAGGACGGAGCCCGCTGCCAGACCGTAAGCGTCGGTCCATGCCTAGGGGAAATTGAGAAGGGGAAAAGAGGGAAGGGGGAAGGAGGAAAAGGGAGGGGCGGGAAGGGGCGACCGGGTAGCTTAAACGAGGCGCGTCGGGGGAAGGACGAAGCCCACCGCCAGACCGTAAGCGTCGGTCCACGCCTGGGGGAAAGGAGGAAGAGGGGGGAGGGGGAAAAGGGAGGGGGAGGGGGGGGAGGGGCGACTGGGATATTGAAGAAGGCTCACTGGCCAAACTGTGAGCACCTGTCCATGCCTGTTTTAGCAGCGATGCGGGAGTGAAGGGCGAAATAATCCTGTTTTAGCAGTTACTAGTTTGGAGTGTGGTGAAGGCTAGATGATCACAAATTTGTAAACGTGTCTTTTGGGCCGATTCGAAAGTCGTCTCTTTGTTCTGTCACCTCCCTGAGAGTAACGTATCAGTCAACGGATTTGGCGTGTCGGCCGAAGAACGTTAAAATAAACTTGTTCAGTCCCGATACATTGCAAGAGCGAGCGAGAGCGTGTCACGTTGTACCCGATATAGAGCGAGCGCCCGCTCAAGGCTGATTCCGCCGCCCCGCCCGTCCCCCGCTTTATGCCGATGGCTCTGGAGTTGCGCCGAGTCGCCCCACAGTCTTATGCCACGTGGCGCCGCCACCGCTTTTTGCCAAAGATTCAGCGCCGAGAAGATAAAAAGGACTGCAAAGAATCTATGCCAAATCGTGTATCGCCAAAACGGTACATGATTCGCTGATGAAGCTTGGATCATGATGGCTCGCGACCTTCCCGCCAGAATCTCTGGTAACGAATACGATCACGGTCAATCACATTCACCAACCATCTCGTGTAAGATAACAGCGAGGTGGTTACCACGAGAAAACAGGAATTCGATGCGACTGGCGAGTTTCCACGAGCAAAAGAACAGGCATTCTGTTCCACTCCTACAAGTCAGGGCCTGAACCATGCCACCTCCAGCCCTGCCCATGAATGTCTCGCGTCGCGTGTTTCAGTTTCTTTCGATTCTGTTTAGGGAAAAGGAATTTTGCGAAAGTAGTGACGAGATTGACGAACCGGAACACAAGCCTCACGAAAAAATTGACGATCTACAACGAGCGATTTTCTGTTACCTTAGTCCCGCCTAGTTCGTTCCGCCTGTCACACCTGTGGCTCCGCCTGCCACCACCAGCCCGCATCGCGTGCCTGACATTCTGTCACATTTCGCCCCCGAGTTTCGCAGCAACCAGAGCTTCTGGTTGCCCACACCATAACTCTGCGCCAATAACGAAGCATGCACTTTGGGGAATTCATAAGCGGCATAAATATCTTGTTTCTCGAATTAGCAAATGAAGTGAAGTGGAGGGATGGGTGGGAGATGCTGAAATCTGTAGTGCATGACCTTTTGGGTCCGACTGTAGTGTCTATCATTGCAGAATAACCTTTGAAAGATAATGCATAGATTCGACCATATCAATTGGACTGCCCGGGGACACCAACAACCTGGTTCTTCCTCATCTCCCAATACCGCCACCTTATCTTATCCACCTTTTGCAGCTTCTCACACAATGCTACAGCTGCATCCGTGCATGAGATAGCAGCACTATCACCAGCACCATCCTGGCTCAACCCTAACACCTTACCCACTTTATCAGACATGCAACCCCGACCAAGCACTGACAGCAGAGTCGCTAACGCATGAACACACTCCGGCTCACTTGCCAGCACATCCATGCAGATTCCAAGAAGCCTCAGATCCCCTTCCTTACCCACACCTTCTGCTTCTTTTTCCAGCAGGCGAATCAGCCCTTGGAGATACCGCCAAGGGCTCTCATTGGACGGAGCAAGCCAGATGGCGGTCACTGCAAACGTCACCTCATCCTCCACTGTTACTGGTGTAACCCTAATTTCGGAATCCTTCTCCTGATTGGCTCCTCCTCCCACATGTTCTGCTCCCTGCTTCTGCTTCGCTATAAGATGCTCCAGTACAAACATTCTGTGGTTCCATGCTGAGTTGTTGCGCACATCATCATCCAACAGCTTCTCACAGAACGTCAGCTCACCATGCCACGTGTCAAATTCCCTCGCCACCCACTGCCTGTGACACCACGCGTGGTAGTTCTTTGAATCTCCCCGCAACGCCTCCTCACAGAAGCGGAATTCCTCCTGCGCGACCTCAGTTATCGACCGTAACGGAACTTGCTGTAACGGGGACGGTGAGTTTGAAACGCATTCTTGCTCCTGCTGCTGCTGCTGCTGCTGGTGCTGTTCCATCTGTTCCTGGCGTCTGGTAACCCTATCTTTGCGAAGAGAAGCCAACCACCGGCGATGGTGCCACACCTGATAATTTTTGGGATTCGATAGAGTCACATTTTCGGCGTAAAGTACCTCATCCTGAACCAGCCAATCCCCTTCATCCCCTCGATTCTCATCCGCTGACGTGGACGAGGGCTTCGATGTCGTGGCCTCCGGTTCCGCTAACGACAGCAGATGCGTGAGAACGTCTCGACGGAGCTGCCAGGCGGTGTAGCTAGCGGCGTTGACGGAGATAACGCGCTCCGTCAAGCGCAAGACGCGCGCGCTGCGCTCGCCGGACGCGAGAACGGCGCGCATGAAGCCCATGGCGTCGTCGAACTCGCGCGAATACGCGATCGGCACGACGGGATCCGGACCGTCGTCCTGCGGTAATGGCTCCACGTCAGCCCAGTCGTCGCTGTCCCTCAGAAGCTCCATGTCGATTCGAATCTCGATTTCTCAGTTATTGATTCGCGAATCGCGAGACGGCTCGATCGAGTGGGGTTAAAGCGCGCCTAACCAGCGGGACCGGCAATCAAACACTCGCGAAAGTAGAATAACGGACGTAGGCCTCGGTCTTCTTAGACGACAGAAACATGGATGTCTAAGAAGATACAAGCCAGCTGGCTAGTCTTGCTTGGTGTGCAGGGTACAGTCGATGCTCAGCCTATCATAAAACATTTGCTTCCCACAATTGAAAATTTAGTCACTCGCGAACGTTTTGCCCGTGAGTGACTAAATTGACCATCGTGCCGATTTCGGGGTACAGTCACCAATTGCGGAAGGAAAACATCTACAGTTCATAAACAACAACGGTTGCCTGTCATAAGAAAAGTTTACCTGGTTACGAAAGTAAAGCCCTTGACTCAATTCACAATGCAATTTCATATTACAGTCACATTTTTGCCCGTGGCGACAAGGGCGAACGTAGCGAAAGGCACAAAACACGTTTCACTCACATGCCGCCCGCCTACCTGGTGTTCTTGAACTGAGCACCGACTGTAATATCGGTTTCTACCCAGGCGCTTTGTTGGATGTATATTGTACCTCGTACGCGCTACGAACAGTGTTACAAAGAAGAGTCGTTTCTGACAACGACTATTTCAGCAGCCAAATCACCACAGGAATGCCTTTATTCTGAATGAAGCCACATGGCTAGACACCAATACAAAACTGAGCGTCACCACTAACTTTCCGAACTAATAAAGCATATGAATAGCACAGAAACCTGCTCAACAAGCTGAGCAGATGATACCCTTATGGAGGACTGTAATCCAGACAGTACAATCCAATCAGCCGATTCATAATGCTATGAATACACGTACTCTCCCACACAGTCTGAAGGGACTCTTCCTTCCTTCCCACACAGCTGAAGCCTTCTTTCTTGAAACATCAGCTCCTCGAAAGTTCCTAATCCATCAGGGATAAAAGGCTTCTTGAGTTTCAGCACAGACCGCCACAGGGTGGCGGATCCTTCAAAGTTGAGTCACCTCGAGCTCCCCTCCCCTCTGAAACTTCAGGTTTGCGTCTACTCAAACTCATCTCCAAGCCTTCAGCGGGGTAGAAACTAGGAAGGCACCTTCAGTCAACCAAGCTACTCTTTTGATATCAACATGTGATTCCTCCCCTGTAGCATGGCGTCTCCTCCTCCTCACGTCCCGTCACTTGAACCTGCCACAGTTGCCGGTGGGAATCGCTTGCTCCTTCCCTCTCAGCTTTAGCAAGCCATCAACCTTGTGAAGGGTCCGCCACGTGCCCCGCCAGGTGCATCTGACTGTCACCATGAGTCTCTGCATGCTGGGTCCTCCTCCTCCTCACACCCGCCCACTTGGGACTCCCACTGTCACCTGTGGGACTGCCTAGCTCCTCCCCTCTCCCCATTTCCCTCCTCTCTCCCCTCTCTCTCCTCTCTATCCTCTCTCCAGCCTCAGCCCCCTCTCTACCACCCTCAGCCCTACTCACTCCCTCTCTACCGCCCTCAACCGCACTCAAACCTTCTTCACCAACCTCAACCTCTCTTACTCCCCCCCCCACTTGCACACCCTGCCCACTCACCATCAATCTTCTCCTCGTCCCAAACTCCTCTCCTCCTTCCCCACCTCCTCCTCCCACCCCCCCACCACCACCTCCTCCTACCTCTCCCCCTCCTCCCCTCCTCCGCCTCTCTCCCCCCCCACCTCCTCCTCCTATCCGTCTCCTTTTTCCTCCTTCCCGTCGTTTCCCTCTTGCTCCTCTTCCCCCTCGCCCCCTGCCCTCGTCCTCACTGGAAAAGATCCAATCCTCCCCATCATTCGCGTTCACCAGGTCTCTATAATTCCGCTCCCTCCTCTTCCTGCCGCTGCGCCTCACTCCTGTCGGCGTCCCTTCATCTGCTGATGCATCAGCATCAGCAGCAGCTGCTGGAGCAGGTGCGAAACCTGCACTAGCACGAACAGGTGAAGCAGCAGCAGGAGCAGCAGTAGCAGCAGCAGCAGCAGCAGTAGCAGCAGCAGCAGCTACTGCGTCTGGAGCTGCAGCAGCAGCCGCCTCACCAACCCCGCTTCTTCTTTTCCTCGAACCCGAACCCGAAGGAGGGGAGGAAACAACTGAACGTGCCGCTTCTCCTCCCTCCCACCTCCCATTCTCACCCTCCTGCTGTTGCCTACCCAGTCCCACCCTTCTTCTCCCTTCCGTCTTCCGTCCTCCTTCTGCCTTCCTCCTCCCTTCTTCCCCACTCTTTCTTTCACCCTTGCGCTTCCCTGCCTCCCCTCCTTTCCGCACACTCCTCTGTGTTCCTCTGCTCCGTGCACCTTGTGACCCCTTTTTGCTCTTCCTTCTCTTGCCTTGAGATCCCACCACATACTCCTCTTCTTCCTCCTCTTCCTCCTCTTCCTCCTCCTCTTCCTCTTCCTCTTCACCCTCCTCCTCTTCCTCCACCACCCCGTTTTCCTCCTCTTTCTTTCCAGTCCCCCCTTCTCTCTCCTCTCCTTCTACTAGCCTCGCAGTATGCTCCTTCACCCCAGGTACCTTCTCCTTCTCTATACCAGAAGAAACAACAACACTCTTAACATGACTTTTGTCCAATTTTCCTCCCTTTTCATCCTTCCCTCTCTTCTCCTTTGCCCTTACCCTCTCGTGTCCTCTCCCCTTCTCGTCTGGTACCCTCCCTGCCATCCCTATTTCCCTCCTCTCTCTCTCTACCCTCTCCTCCTCTTCCTCATAATACACCACCTCTCCCTCCACATCCCCAATGCTGTCCTCGTTATTAGCATCACCCGTACCAGCATTAGCTTCAGGAGCACCATTAGCAGCAGCACCGTCAGCACCACCATTAGCAGCAGCGGTAGCAGCACCACCACCATCCCCACTGCTAGCACCAGTACCACCACCATCACTTTTACCACCACCAGCACTTAGGCCACCACCAGCACTGGTTTCCCTACTCTCAACACCATTGGCCTCAATATTCGCACCCTCAACTTCCACACCCTTTGATTTCCCTGTTTCTCCTCTCCTCTTTGCTCTAGAACCGATTTGCTCACCCCTCTTGTCACCGGTTGTTAATTCCTGCCCTGCCACTTCTTTCACCTGCCCTTCCTCTGCTTTCACCTGCCCAGGCTCTCCTTTCCCCTGCCCGTTCCCTTCCTCCATACCTCCTTCCCCAACCCCTTCCTCCCGCCTCTCCTCCTCCCCTTCCTCCTCCAAGATATCAACATAGCTCCGCTTTTTCTTCGGTCTGTGCCTGATAAGCAGCAATGGGAAGGAGAGGGAGATGAAGGGGTTGAAACGGAGTAGACTTTTGAGGCGCCTCAAGGCTCCGCTTTTTCTTTGGTCGGTGCCTGATAAGCACCAATGGGACGGAGTGGAAAGGGATGAAAGGACGCAAGATATCAGTGTAACTCCGCCTAACCTTCCGCCAGTGCTTGGCAGGCAGCAGCAATGGGAAGGAGCGGGAGTGAAACGAGGTAAAACAACTCAAACTCGACCGCGTTGCATCGCATCAGGCATCTCTTTCTCCCCGTCCTCCTCCAAAAATTCGGCACAGTTCCGCCTTTTCTTGAGCCGGCGCCTGATAGGCAGCAATGGGAGGAGTGGGAAGAGATGAAAGGGCGCAGAAGGGTGTTGAAAGGTTGTGAAAAGGAATTAAAAGACACCCACCTGAGCAACCGCAAGGGCTGGATATCCGAGGCCAACCCAGGCTTCACTCTGTCACACTTGCCACTCTCCACTCCTCTGTTTGCTGTACGCACTCCAAATCTGAGGGGCAGCACGTGAGGGGAGAGGAGAACCCACCTGAGCAACCGCAAGGGCTGGATATCGGAGGCCAACCCAGCCTTCACTCTGTCAGACCTGTCCCGCTCCACCCCTCCTCGCCCGTTCGCTGCATGCACTCCTTCAGCCTTCCCCTCCTTCCCCTGTTTCTTCTCTTTCTTCTCCTTCTTTCCCTTCTTCTCCTTCTTCTCCCTCCCCTCCCTCCCCTCTCTCCCCTCCTTCCTTCGCAAACTTCCACGGGTATCCCGCTTCACCCCTCCCAATCCCTTCCTACTCCCTTCCTCCTCCCCTGCCTCTGCCTCCTCCTCCTCTGCGCTCCACTCCTCTTCCCCACTCTTCCCTCCATCCTCCACGCCCCTCCCCTCCTCCCCACTCTCCTCCTCCCCACTCCCCTCCTCTTTAAACGACACACCATCAGGACGCCTCCCTCCCCACCTAGTCCTTGCACTCACTCTACCATCCCCCCTCACTCCACCATCCCCCCTCACTCCACCATCCCCCCTCACTCCACCACCCCCTTCCTGCATCCCCTCATTCCCACCCAATTCCCCTCCCACCACGCCACCGCCTTTTCTCCTGAGCCTTCTCCTTCCATCCCCTTCCTCTGCCACTAAGCCAGTCACAACGGATGGCTTTTGAGTCGACTCAAAAGCCACCAAGCCACCGCCTTTTCTCCTGAGCCTTCTCTTTCCATCCCCTTCCTCTGCCTCTAATCCACTTTCATCGGATGGCCTCCTCAATACAGCTTCAGGTTTTCTTCTCTTCTCCTTCCTTCTTCTCCCCCCACCCTCATCCAATCCCTCATCCACTCCCCCATCCACTCCCCCATCCGCTCCCTCCTCCATTTGTTCCCTCACGCTCGTCCCCAATCTCACTCCCTTCTCTCCGCCCGTCGCTTCTCCCTTCCTCGGCTCTCTTTGACCATCCTCGTTATAAGCGTCTTCATCACCACCACCATCCTCTTCCTGCTTCTTCTTCTCAAGCCCATACTCTTCCTCCCTCTCCCCTTCGTCCTCACCCCCCTCCTCTGCCTCCTCCGCCGTCCTTTCTCCCCTCTCTTCGTATCTCTCCACCTTCTTTCCCTCACTTTCCGCTTCTTCCCTTTCCCCTTCCTCTTGGCCCCCCCCTTCGCCCTCATCTTTCCCCAACACTCCATCCTCGTTATAATCACCCACATAGCCTCCTTTTCGCCGCTTCCTTCCCTCCCCTCCCGATCCCTTCAAACACTCATCCATTGCCCCATCCTCCTCTCTCCGTCCCTCCCTCAGTCGTCTCTTCCTTAGCCTCTGCTCCTCTCCATCCTTCCTTTCCGCCTCTGTTCTTCCCTCTCTCCCCTCCTTCCCTTCTCTGCTCTCAGTGCCACCACCCTCTCTTCTCTCCCCTTTCACCCTTAACTTCCTACCCTCTCCTTCCTCTTCTTCCCCTTCACCCCCACTCTCCCGCTCCTTTTCCCCCTCATCATACTCCTCTCCCTCCTCCCCTCTTTCTCCCCGCCCCCTCCCCTCCTCTCCTCCTTCCTCCCTCCTCTCTTTCCGTGACCCCCCATTCTCATCACCATCACTCCCATCCCCTGTATTATCACCACTCTCGTTCCAATCACCATCACTACTATCACCATCATTACTGCCGCGCTCCTTACCATCGCTCTTACCCCCCTTCTCTTCCATCTCTCCTTCCCCATATAAACCTTCCCCAGAAGAGCCTACTCTCAAACCATCCTCCCCTTCTCCTCTTTCTCCTCCCTCTTCTTCTTTCCCTTCTCTTCCTCCTACATTTTCCCCTTCTTCTCCTCCTCCTTTGCTTCCTCCCCTTTCTCTCTCTCCCTCCTCCTCCTCTCCTTCCCGCCCCCCTCCCACACCACTACCAACCGCATCGTCGCTAGCAGACAAAACGCGCCGCCCTGCCAGCTGTCGGAGGCCCTCGCGAGTGGGGGCGTGCTCGGGGGGAAGCTCACGGGATTTGGAAGGTAGTGTGATGGCATCATTGATAGAACGATCAAAGTCGTCTGAAGGGACACAAGGGATGGGGGGAAGGACGGGGAGAAAGGGGAAGAGGAATGGAGGGATCAGTTAATGGGATTTGGAAGGTAGTGTGATGGCATCGTTAATAGAACAATCAAAGTCGTCTGAAGGGACAGAAGGGATGGGGGGAAGGGAGATGGGCGGGGGCGCAGGGGAAGAGAAAGGGAAGTGGATGGGATGGGAACGGGCAAGAGGAAGGTGGTGAAGTGACATTGTCCAGGCACAGACACGAGATACTTTTAAGTCGACTCAAAAGTCACCTCAAGAGGAAGGTGGTGAAGTGACGTTGACTAGACGACACAGTAACGAGGCTCTTGAATCAACTGATGAGATATGAGAGGTAGCGTGACAATGGCTGCATCGTCAATAGACAAATCTCATCAGCTGATAACGCGAGACTCTGGATTCAACTCATGGACAGGCCTACCAAAGGTGTAGGTGACTGGTTTCCTCGACGTTGCAGGGAGTTTTTGAGAATTCTCAAAAACTCCCTGCATCATCAGCTGATAACACGAGACTCTGGATTCAACTCATGGACACACCTACCAAAGGTGTAGGTGACCGGCTTCCTCTCCCGTGTAGAAAGTAGATTTTTGAGACGTCTCAAAAAGACTCTGGATTCAACTCATGGACAGACCTACCAAAGGTGTAGGTGACCGGCTTTCTCTCCCGCCTCGATCGACCCAGAGCCATCCCCTCGCCGTACCCCCCTGGCGCTCAGGACAGCACCCCACAGCCATCCCCTCCCCAAAACCCCCAACAGCAATGCAAGATGCACGCACCGAAGGTGTAGGTCACGGGTTTCCTCTCCCGCCTCGATCGACCCAGAGCCATCCCCTCGCCGTACCCTCCTGGCGCTCAGGACAGCACCCCACAGCCATCCCCTCCCCAAACCCCCCCACAGCAATGCAAGATGCACGCACCGAAGGTGTAGGTCACGGGTTTCCTCTCCCGCCTCGATCGACCCAGAGCCAGCCCCTCGCCGTACCCCCCTGCGTACTGCCCTGCTGCTGCCATGGCTGCTGCTAGCTGCGCTGCCAGCTGCGCCGCCTGCCTCTGCTGCCTCTTCGCATGCCGCTCCTTGCGCTGTTGATAGGAGAAATAAGAGGCGAAAGAAACGAGAAGAACATGTGAGATTGCAGAAGTTGGGTTCAACAGTAGCTGCCAGCTAGGCTGCCAGCTGCGCCGCCCGCCGCTGCTGCCTCTTTGCATGTCGCTCCTTGCGATGGTGGTGTGGGCAGAGGAGAGGTGCAGAGAAGAGAAGGTAAAACAGGGAAAGGGTTCGAGTGTGACAGTGGCTGCCAGCTGCGCCGCCTGCCTCTGCTGCCTCTTTGCATGTCGCTCCTTGCGCTGGTGGGGGTACAGAAGAGGGGTGAACGGAAGTGAAGAGAGAGGGTTTCGGGTACAAACATAGCTGCTAGCTGCGCTGCCAGCTGCGCCGCTTGCCTCTGCTGCCTCTTCGCATGCCGCTCCTTGTGCGGATGGGGGAAGGGGAGACAGGGGAAAGAGAGAGACGAGACGAGTATGTAGCAGAAAGCAAGGATTTGGATACAGCTGTGCCATGGCTACTGCCTGCTGTGCTGCCTGCCAGTGCTGCCTCTTTGCATGCCGCTCCTTGCACTGGTGTGAGGAGGCATGAAAGGAGAAGGGAGAGGGAAGAGGGAGGTGAGTGTTGAAACAACATTAGCATGTGATTGAAAATGAGTGAGAGCGAAAGTGAGAGTGAGAGTGCGCGGGTGAGAGAACAATCCCGGGACCCTCCTCACCTTCTCTTCTAGCTCCACTTTAGGAATGGCCTCCTCTGCCAGGCGATTTGTGAGGTCTTAAGAGCGATTTGTAATGCAATGGTATTCTCCCATCCCTCACCTTCTCCTCGAGCTCCACTTTAGGAATGGCCTCCTCCGCCAAGCGATCCGCTATAAGCTGATCCGCGTTATGCACACTGGCACTGAGGTCGTCCTGCAGATACAGGCACACCAAGGAAGGCAGCGGGAGGGAAGAAACTCATATAAGCTGATCCGATTTTCTATTAGAAGCAGGTATAAACTGATGTTTTAAGTCCAATAAGCAGTCATATCATCCAGTGAAATTGGCTTCAAGTCTGGAGTAAACTTTCGAGATGCACAAAATAAAAATCAATACAGTTAACGAAAAGCACAGCACACTCAAAGCTCCAACCAAGTACCAGCTAACTCACCGCGAGAGCAGTGAAGTCTGTGAGACACACAGCAGCAGTGGCGAACTCGCCACACACAGGTGGCAGGAACACCAGCCGGGCCAATATTGAGGTCCTTGAAAAGGGATCTCCTCAGAGTGAAGTGACTCACCGCGAGAGCAGTAAAGTCTGTGAGACACACAGCAGCAGTGGCAAACTCGCCACACACAGGTGGCAGGAAAACTGGCCTGGCCTTCTTCTTCGCACTTAAAGGACGCAGTTCTGCAGACTCACCGCGAGAGCTGTGAAGTCTGTGAGGCAGACGGCTGCAGTGGCGAACTCGCCACACACAGGTGGCAGGAAAACTGGCTTGGCCTTCTTCTTTGCCTTCCTCCTCCCCTCCCCTCCAGCAGCAGCAGCAGCATCGGCTCCTCTCCCCTTCTTGCTGCCACCCTTGGTGGGAGTGCCCTTGGAAGCAGGCTTGGCAGCAGGGTTGGGAGCAGGTTTGGAGGCGGAAGGAGGGCGGAGACTGCCGGACCTGGTTCGCGTGCTCATGCCATGGCGAGTAGGACGGGCGCTCGAATCTGCCTTGGCAGCAGAGTCTGCCTTACCAGCAACAACCGAGGCCTTTCCAGCAGCAGCGGTGCCTGAGGGGTCTTGAGCAGGTTCAGCTGAGCCGCCTTGAGCAGGCATGCAGGGATCTGCGTCAGTTAAGTCAATCACAGCAGCATCCTTCTCCTCTTCCTCCTCCTTCGTCTCCTCCTCTCCCTCCTTCACCTCCTTCACCTCCTTCACCTCCTTCACCTCCTCCTCTTCTTCTCCCTCGTATCTTCCACGCTCTTCACCCACACCAACGCCACCTCTATTGCTCTCTTCTTCTCCTTTCACCTCCCTCTTGCCCCCCTCCCCACGCTCACAATCCTTCCTACCCGCCTCCCTGCCACCTCGCCTCCTGTAAACCCTCTCATTCTCCTTCGCTCCAGCCCCTCTCCTCACAAGCACCTTATCCTCTTCGTCTCCCTTTTTACCCTTTCCTTCCTCTTCCGCTTTTACCCCTTGCTCCTTCGCTCCCACCCCACTTTCCTCTCCTCCTCTCCCCTTCACTCCCCCCTCCTCCTCCTCCTCAGCCTTCACCCCGACTAAAGCCTTCAATCCACCGATAGCGGCTAGGCCGCTCATAAAATCCCTATCTCCTTGCGACTCTTTACCATTTCCTCGCAAGAACTCCCTATGGTTCCCACGTGATAAACCCTTATTGTCGGGACTCCCAATAGGCGACTTTAGAATCAATTCAACACCAGTTGCACACGACTTCACATCACCCAATCTGGTTACCACACTGATCGCTGTAACGCTGTCAGCAGCAGAGACTTCGAGAGTGGAATTGGGTGGTGGTTCAGATTGTAGGGGATCGGATGCTGGTGTTGGGCTAACGGACGGCTCAGATGCTCCAGCTTTGCCAGATGGGGCCTCCTTGGCCGCTGATGCATTATCACCATCAGCAGCAGCACCGTCAGCAGCAGCAGCAGCAGCAGCAGCTGCACCATCAGAAGCAGCAGCAGCAGTAGCAGCAGCGCTGGTAACATCAGCGCTAGTAGCAGGCTGTGTGGCAGGCACATCAGCTTCAGCACTAGCAGACACCCTTGCAATATCTGCTGTCGCTGCCTTAGCTGCCTTTTCTGCCCCTGCCACCTCTGCCACCTCTGCCGCCTTTTCTGCCTCTGCCACCACTGCCATATCTGCTACCTGTGCTACCTCTGCCACCTCTGGCCGCTCTGTTGCTGCCTCTGCTGCCCCTGCCACTTCCTCACTTCTCGGCGCACGAGGCATGAGAGCAGTGGCGACTGTGTGATCATCAGAGCTTCTGGCCGGTTGAGTGGGCTCATCAGCTTCTATTTCAGCTTCAGCTTCAGCTTTAGCAGTACTATTGTCAGCAATTTTTCCAGCCCCCGCCTTTGCTCCTTCCACCATCGCTGCCACTGTCTCTGCAGGAACAGTGGTGTCTGTGTGATCATCGACGCTTCTGGCCGATTGAGTAGGCTCAGCAGCTTCTGTTTCAGATTCAGCTTCCACTTTAGCAGCACTCTCGGCAGCACCTTTTGCAGCCTCCGCCTTTGCTCCTTCCACCATCACTGCCACCGCCTCTCCATTAACAGCAGCAGCTTCTGTTTTAGCTTTGTCGTTACCAACACTTGTGGCAGCATCTCTTGCACTCTCTGCCTTTGCTCCTTCCACCACCAGTGCTACGGTTTCTGCAGGAGAAACAGCAGTAGAATCAGCAGCAAGTGCAGGAACAGCCGCGCTAGCAGCAACAGCAGCAGCAGCAGCAGCTTCAGCCGCTTCAGCTTCAGCAGCAGCAGCGGCTGCGGCAGCAGTGGCGGCAGCGGCGGCGGCAGCAGCGTCAGCCTCTTCCTGTGTGATGAAAACGTGTGGGCCCTCTTTGAACAGCCGATGGCCCAACACAGAGTCGTTGCAAAACCTGGAGGATGGAAGTTGGGCACAAGAAAAAGCAGAGTCAGCAGCAGCATCAGCCTCTTCCTGTGTGATGAAAACGTGTGGGCCCTCTTTGAACAGCCGATGGCCCAACACAGAGTCGTTGCAAAACCTGGAGGATGGAAGTTGGGCACAAGAAAAAGCAGAGTCAGCAGCAGCATCAGCCTCTTCCTGTGTGATGAAAACGTGTGGGCCCTCTTTGAACAGCCGATGGCCCAACACAGAGTCGTTGCAAAACCTGGAGGATGGAAGTTGGGCACAAGAAAAAGCAGAGTCAGCAGCAGCATCAGCCTCTTCCTGTGTGATGAAAACGTGTGGGCCCTCTTTGAACAGCCGATGGCCCAACACTGAGTCGTTGCAAAACCTGACGGCAGGGAGTTGATGGGGAGAGGGAAAAGCAGAATGGGATGGGAGTTAAGCACAAGAAAAGGCAGGAGTCAGCAGCAGCAGCGGCAGCAGCGTCAGCCTCTTCCTGTGTGATGAAAACGGGTGGACCCTCTTTGAACAGGCGATGGCCCAACACAGAGTCGTTGCAAAACCTGAATGTTGACAAGTACGATTGAAATTGGGCACAACATAACACAAGAAACGAAGAGTCAGCAGCAGCAGCAGCAGCAGCAGCAGCAGCAGCAGCAGCAGCAGCAGCAGTGTCAGCCTCCTCTTGTGCGAAACGATAGAAAGGTGGGCCCGCTCACTTTGGACAGGTGGTGACCGAGTCACCCAGGACAGAATCGTTGCAGAACCCCGAATACAAGGAACCTCAACTCGCATTTTTCTATGATGGACTGCACCGCACTTCACCGCATTTCACCACGATGCACCCACCAGAACACGTGGTTGTTGGCGTCGATGCCAAACGGCTCCATGCGAATCTCCTCGGGATTCCTTTTCATGGCCGCCTCTACCACCACTCGCGTGTCCTCTTGCTGTGTGGTGGGGATGGGTACAGCAGGGTCCGAGAGGGATACAGAGGGGCTAGAGGATAAGCCACCAATCTCCTCAAGGTTCCTCTTCATGGCCGCCTCTACCACCACTCGAGTGTCCTCTTGCTGCGCGGTGAGGGGGGGGGGGGGGGGGGGGGGTATGGGTAGCAGCAGGAGGGAGGCAGGGAGTGAGGGAGGGAAATAGAGAGGAGTTGATAGGCCACCTGTCAGGAATCAAGATGCACGCGCAATCAGGGGGTGGGAGGGAAGAGCGAATCCCTTCAAGGTTCCTCTTCATAGTGTGTAGTGAGTCGAGTTTTGAGCCGACTCAAAACTCGACTCACTACTCAAGGTTCCTCTTCATAGCAGCCTCTACCACCACTGGAAAAGCGCCTGCCTCCCTAATGAATGCCTCTGTACTGTAAGGTGCTCTATTATTCAACACACAGCTCCCTATTCTGCCCAACGCACGCACAGTCACTTTTGAGTCGACTCAAAAGTCACCTAAGCAGCTCTATTCAACACACAGCTCCCTATTCCGCCCAACGCACGCACAGTGTCTGTCTGTCTACTCACATCCAGCCGAATCTCGCAGAGAGCTTTCAAGATGCGCACGCGGTCAGGGGGAGGGAGAGACGCGTAGAGCTCTGCCTCAGCCCTGGAGTGGGGATAGGGTCCATAAGGGGGAGAGGCGGGCACACAGGAAGAGGTGTGGGCACATGCGAGGCGGGCGCATGCCCCATCCCAGGGATTCTCAAAGCCCTGCGAGAATTCTCAAAGAATCCCTGCAGCATCATAGACGTGTGGGCACATGCGAGGCGGGCGGGCGCATGCCCCACCCCAGGGATTCTCAAAGCCCTGCGAGAATTCTCAAAGAATCCCTGCAGCATCATAGACGTGTGGGCACATGCGAGGCGGGCGCATGCCCCACCCCAGGGATTCTCAAAGCCCTGCGAGAATTCTCAAAGAATCCCTGCAGCATCATAGACGTGTGGGCACATGCGAGGCGGGCGCATGCCCCACCCCAGGGATTCTCAAAGCCCTGCGAGAATTCTCAAAGAATCCCTGCAGCATCATAGACGTGTGCGCACATGCGAGGCGGGCGCATGCCCCACCCCAGGGATTCTCAAAGCCCTGCGAGAATTCTCAAAGAATCCCTGCAGCATCATAGACGTGTGCGCACATGCGAGGCGGGCGGGCGCATGCCCCCTGTTCCTTATGAGACGAGCGGAAGGAGCAGGAGGAGCAGGAGGAGCAGGAGGAGCAGGAGGAGCAGAAGCAAGCACCACCAGGAGCAGGAGTTGAAGGGTGTGTGTACAAAGCCAAAGACAAAAGCACTTACCCCTGACAGGAATAGAGAGGGCAAATCCCTGGTGCAACCTGGTTAGGGAGACAAGTGGGGATGCATTCACAGACACACACAAGCACACACACATGAGCGCACGCAACGGCAACACACACACACACACGCATAAACACACGCACACACACACACATGCACGTGCGCGCACACGTACGCACACACGTGCACATTTGTGGGGAGTGGGAATGGTTTTCATTTAGATGCAAGGAGAGGCAGACACAGAAGCTTCATGCATGTATGCTGTATCTGCTGCAACGTGTTGTTTGTGCGGTGCAAACTCAACAGGCATGCATGCATCACACATGGCATGTATGCATCACACATGGCATGTATGCATGCATCATATCTCATCATGCTTGACTCGCAGCCTTATCTTGTGCAATGCATAAGAATTCATGGGCCACACATACATTGCATGTATAATGGATCATTCATGCCTACCTGTGGCCATGTGTTGTGCATGTAACGGTGCACAACAGTAGCCCTTGAATCATGCATGGCATGGCATGGCATGGCATGGCATGCATGCATCATAACTACCTGCAGCCATGTGTTGTGCACGCGACGGCACACAAGTGTACCCCATGAATGGCAAGCAAGCAACATACAACATTCCGCATGCAACAAGACCATCATCATCACGCATTCTTGATCACCCCTAACTACCTGCGGCCATGTGTTGTGCACGCGACGACACACAAGAGTGGCCCATGTGCGATGGTCGGCTGGCGGGCGGTTGAATGGCTGAATGCCCTGCAAGGGTAGCAGAGGAGGGGGACAGAAGGGAGGGAGAGATGAGAGCATGGCAGAGGGGACGACACACAAGTGTGGCCCATGTGCGGTGGTCGGCTGGCGGGCGGTTGAACGGTTGAATGCCCTGCATGCACGGGAGGAGCGGGAGAAAGGGGTGGGGCGGAGCGGATTGATCAGTTCAGTGCTCCTGGTCCAAGTTTTTTTAACTGGTCCCGTGTCAAAGCATGAACTGGGACGAGCGACATGTGGGCGCTGCATGATAAGTGAATGCCTGAATGCCTGATAGCCTGAGTTCCTGAAAGGGGTGGGGCGGAGCAGTTGGCTCACATCAATGTTCCCGTGTCAAAACATGAACTGGGACGAGCGACATGTGGGCGCTCCATGAAAAGTGCTATGCTGTGCTGTGCATGAATGCATGAATGCATGAATGCCTGAATGCATGAATGCATGAATGCATGAATGCATGAATGCATGAATGCATGAATGCCTGAATGCATGAATGCATGAATGCCTGAATGCATGAATGCATGAATGCATGAATGCATGAATGCCTGAATGCATGAATGCATGAATGCATGAATGCATGAATGCATGAATGCATGAATGCCTGAATGCATGAATGCCTGAATGCATGAATGCCTGAATGCATGAATGCCTGAATGCATGAATGCCTGAATGCATGAATGCCTGAATGCATGAATGCATGAATGCATGAATGCATGAATGCATGAATGCCTGAATGCATGAATGCCTGAATGCATGAATGCCTGAATGCATGAATGCCTGAATGCATGAATGCCTGAATGCATGAATGCCTGAATGCATGAATGCATGAATGCATGAATGCCTGAATGCATGAATGCATGAATGCATGAATGCATGAATGCATGAATGCATGAATGCATGAATGCCTGAATGCATGAATGCATGAATGCATGAATGCATGAATGCCTGAATGCATGAATGCCTGAATGCATGAATGCCTGAATGCATGAATGCCTGAATGCATGAATGCATGAATGCATGAATGCATGAATGCATGAATGCCTGAATGCATGAATGCATGAATGCATGAATGCCTGAATGCATGAATGCATGAATGCATGAATGCATGAATGCCTGAATGCATGAATGCATGAATGCATGAATGCATGAATGCATGAATGCCTGAATGCATGAATGCCTGAATGCATGAATGCCTGAATGCATGAATGCCTGAATGCATGAATGCCTGAATGCATGAATGCCTGAATGCATGAATGCATGAATGCATGAATGCATGAATGCCTGAATGCATGAATGCCTGAATGCATGAATGCCTGAATGCATGAATGCCTGAATGCATGAATGCCTGAATGCATGAATGCCTGAATGCATGAATGCATGAATGCATGAATGCCTGAATGCATGAATGCATGAATGCATGAATGCATGAATGCATGAATGCATGAATGCATGAATGCATGAATGCATGAATGCCTGAATGCATGAATGCATGAATGCATGAATGCCTGAATGCATGAATGCATGAATGCATGAATGGATGAATGCCTGAATGCATGAATGCATGAATGCATGAATGCATGAATGCATGAATGCATGAATGCATGAATGCCTGAATGCATGAATGCATGAATGCATGAATGCCTGAATGCATGAATGCATGAATGCATGAATGCATGAATGCCTGAATGCATGAATGCATGAATGCATGAATGCATGAATGCATGAATGCATGAATGCCTGAATGCATGAATGCCTGAATGCATGAATGCCTGAATGCATGAATGCCTGAATGCATGAATGCCTGAATGCATGAATGCCTGAATGCATGAATGCATGAATGCATGAATGCATGAATGCATGAATGCCTGAATGCATGAATGCATGAATGCATGAATGCCTAAATGCATGAATGCCTGAATGCATGAATGCCTGAATGCATGAATGCCTGAATGCATGAATGCATGAATGCATGAATGCCTGAATGCATGAATGCATGAATGCATGAATGCATGAATGCATGAATGCATGAATGCCTGAATGCATGAATGCATGAATGCATGAATGCATGAATGCATGAATGCATGAATGCCTGAATGCATGAATGCATGAATGCATGAATGCCTGAATGCATGAATGCATGAATGCATGAATGCATGAATGCCTGAATGCATGAATGCATGAATGCATGAATGCATGAATGCATGAATGCATGAATGCCTGAATGCATGAATGCCTGAATGCATGAATGCCTGAATGCATGAATGCCTGAATGCATGAATGCCTGAATGCATGAATGCCTGAATGCATGAATGCATGAATGCATGAATGCCTGAATGCATGAATGCATGAATGCATGAATGCATGAATGCATGAATGCATGAATGCATGAACGCCTGAATGCATGAATGCATGAATGCCTGAATGCATGAATGCATGAATGCATGAATGCCTGAATGCATGAATGCATGAATGCATGAATGCATGAATGCCTGAATGCATGAATGCATGAATGCATGAATGCCTGAATGCATGAATGCATGAATGCATGAATGCCTGAATGCATGAATGCATGAATGCATGAATGCATGAATGCATGAATGCATGAATGCATGAATGCATGAATGCATGAATGCCTGAACGCATGAATGCATGAATGCATGAATGAATGAATGCATGAATGCATGAATGCCTGAATGCATGAATGCATGAATGCATGAATGCCTGAATGCATGAATGCATGAATGCATGAATGCATGAATGTCTGAATGCATGAATGCATGAATGCATGAATGCATGAATGCATGAATGCATGAATGCCTGAATGCATGAATGCCTGAATGCATGAATGCCTGAATGCATGAATGCCTGAATGCATGAATGCCTGAATGCATGAATGCCTGATGAATGCATGAATGCATGAATGCATGAATGCATGAATGCATGAATGCATGAATGCATGAATGCCTGAATGCATGAATGCATGAATGCATGAATGCCTGAATGCATGAATGCATGAATGCATGAATGCATGAATGCCTGAATGCATGAATGCATGAATGCATGAATGCATGAATGCATGAATGCATGAATGCCTGAATGCATGAATGCCTGAATGCATGAATGCCTGAATGCATGAATGCCTGAATGCATGAATGCCTGAATGCATGAATGCCTGAATGCATGAATGCATGAATGCATGAATGCATGAATGCATGAATGCCTGAATGCATGAATGCCTGAATGCATGAATGCCTGAATGCATGAATGCCTGAATGCATGAATGCCTGAATGCATAAATGCCTGAATGCATGAATGCATGAATGCATGAATGCCTGAATGCATGAATGCATGAATGCATGAATGCATGAATGCATGAATGCATGAATGCATGAATGCATGAATGCATGAATGCATGAATGCATGAATGCATGAATGCATGAATGCATGAATGCATGAATGCATGAATGCATGAATGCATGAATGCATGAATGCATGAATGCATGAATGCATGAATGCATGAATGCCTGAATGCATGAATGCATGAATGCATGAATGCCTGAATGCATGAATGCATGAATGCATGAATGCATGAATGCCTGAATGCATGAATGCATGAATGCATGAATGCATGAATGCATGAATGCCTGAATGCATGAATGCCTGAATGCATGAATGCCTGAATGCATGAATGCCTGAATGCATGAATGCCTGAATGCATGAATGCCTGAATGCATGAATGCATGAATGCATGAATGCATGAATGCATGAATGCATGAATGCATGAATGCCTGAATGCATGAATGCATGAATGCATGAATGCCTGAATGCATGAATGCATGAATGCATGAATGCATGAATGCATGAATGCATGAATGCATGAATGCATGAATGCATGAATGCATGAATGCATGAATGCCTGAATGCATGAATGCATGAATGCATGAATGCATGAATGCATGAATGCATGAATGCATGAATGCATGAATGCATGAATGCATGAATGCATGAATGCATGAATGCCTGAATGCATGAATGCCTGAATGCATGAATGCCTGAATGCATGAATGCATGAATGCATGAATGCATGAATGCATGAATGCATGAATGCATGAATGCATGAATGCATGAATGCATGAATGCATGAATGCATGAATGCATGAATGCATGAATGCATGAATGCATGAATGCATGAATGCATGAATGCATGAATGCATGAATGCATGAATGCATGAATGCATGAATGCATGAATGCCTGAATGCATGAATGCATGAATGCATGAATGCCATGAATGCATGAATGCATGAATGCATGAATGCATGAATGCATGAATGCATGAATGCATGAATGCATGAATGCATGAATGCATGAATGCATGAATGCATGAATGCATGAATGCATGAATGCCTGAATGCATGAATGCATGAATGCATGAATGCCTGAATGCATGAATGCATGAATGCATGAATGCATGAATGCATGAATGCATGAATGCATGAATGCATGAATGCATGAATGCATGAATGCATGAATGCCTGAATGCATGAATGCCTGAATGCATGAATGCCTGAATGCATGAATGCCTGAATGCATGAATGCCTGAATGCATGAATGCCTGAATGCATGAATGCATGAATGCATGAATGCCTGAATGCATGAATGCATGAATGCATGAATGCATGAATGCATGAATGCATGAATGCATGAATGCCTGAATGCATGAATGCATGAATGCATGAATGCCTGAATGCATGAATGCATGAATGCATGAATGCATGAATGCATGAATGCATGAATGCATGAATGCATGAATGCATGAATGCATGAATGCATGAATGCATGAATGCATGAATGCCTGAATGCATGAATGCCTGAATGCATGAATGCCTGAATGCATGAATGCCTGAATGCATGATAATGCATGAATGCATGAATGCCTGAATGCATGAATGCATGAATGCATGAATGCATGAATGCATGAATGCATGAATGCATGAATGCCTGAATGCATGAATGCATGAATGCATGAATGCATGAATGCATGAATGCATGAATGCATGAATGCATGAATGCATGAATGCATGAATGCATGAATGCATGAATGCATGAATGCATGAATGCATGAA